ACCCTGAAAATTTCAAGTCTCTAGCACATCTCCTTCTAGTGGAACAGACAGACAGACAGACAGACACACAGACAGACACACACGAGGTCGTTTGCATAAGCCCGCTGAATAGCTTTTTCAAAGCAGAAGGGCGGGCTAAAAAGACAGATCGAGTTCGAAGATGAGCACTCTTGCTCAAAAACTGACATTTTAAAAAATCAAAAACCTAAGGTCGCAAAATGTATTTTTATCAAATATTTTTTTATGCGTTCCTAAGGGGTAAACCGTCAAAGTAGAGCCCTTTGGGCGAAAATTTCGTCCGTTTGGCTCTATCTTGTACCGTTCAGGTGCTAGGGGGCATTTCTTGACAAAAATGAGGAGAAAATGATGAAATGGTCGATTAAATCGTTAACAAAAAGACTTCATTTCGAAAACTTGTATATTCACTCCTATTACCCCGTCTCGGGTGTCAGCGCCGCAGGCCTAGCTATATGTGCGCCAGGCGCGTCGCAGCGTAACAGTGTTTCGTGAGATATCGCGAAGCCTGTTACGCGAGACGTGGTCTGGCGTACATATAGCTAGTTCTACAACTTATTGTTTACTATGGCAATTTTAAGCTTATTTTCGTCAAAAAAGACCTTCTAGCGCGTGAACGGTTAGAGATAGAGCAAAACGGACAAAATTTTTGCCCAAAGGGCTATCTACTTTCACAAGGTACCCCTTAGGGTATCATATAAAAAATTATATTTTTTCCAACTTTTTTGGCCCTTCCTGTATTCTTCGATACCCCCTTTCAGCCCCTTGAGGTGGCTGGCAGGATTTGCCGTAGGCGTTTTGTTTTGTGGGAGTGAACCTTGAGATCCCCTGAAAATTTGAAGTCTCTAGCACATCTCCTTTTTGTGGAACAGACAGACACACAGACAGGCACACAGACAGACACGAGGTCGTTTGCATAAGCCCGCTGGACAGCTTTTTCAAGGCAGAAGGGTGGGCTAAAAATTGTTTTTTCAACTTTTTGGTTCTGCCTCTATTTTTGTCATACACCGAATCAAGGGTGGTTGCCAGGATTAGCACCAACTGTTTTGTTGTCTGTAAGTGGCAACAATGATGCCCTGAAAATTTCAGACCCCGAGCTCACGTCCTGCTTGTAGAACAGACAGGGAGACGGACATACAGACAGAAAGCTGGAGGGCGGATAGCATAAGCCTGCTTGTAAAGCTTTTACAAAGCAAAAGAGCAGGCTGAAAACGGAAGGTGGAAAGGCTTTCTAATAGAATACTCTATTCCATTTGTTCGTGCAATCATGCAATCATGGGTACACATCTTTGGTCAGTGTCACGCCACTCAGTTTTGGGTATGTTTGGGCGACTAAAAGCAACTGTTTCCGGTCTCTTGTTCTTTCCTCTTTTCTCCACTTTGAAAATGTTGCATGGCTCTACTAACAGTAACTTATGCTTTCCGAAAAAAGCTGAACGTTGAAAGACTAAGTGACTTGTTCCTACGAGGGCCAGAAAAGAACAAAAACTTTACAAGTAGTGTGAGAAATAGGGTGTTCCATCTAAGACGGAAGTGAAAAAGAACAAACTCACCAATTAATCTGTTTCCGTCTGCTCAGTATACGAAATTATCATGGAAGTTTGGTCCCATTCTAACCTACCTCGAGGGGACACTGTGAAAAAAATATTCGTCAACTTACGACAAATTTCATAATAATAAATTACAACAGCTATTCGTAAAGTTACGGTTTCTAAATTGTAAGTTTACGAGTAGTGTTATAGATAGATATTACAACTCAATATCGTAACAATACAAAAGAAGTCGTAACTTTCTGACTAATTTCGTAATTTTATCACAATTAGGTATTGCAATTGTATGAGAATTCTTTTTTTCTAGACAGCACCATAATTTAGTGCACTGTCTTGAATATAGAAAGTCATTTCTATCCTAGCTAAAAATTTAACATCGCTTAATTTGAGTGTGAAATCTAAAACCTCGCTTAGTTTAAGCATTATGACTGAAACCTCGCTGCCTACTAGAATTAAACTTGAAAACCCCACAAATTCTCTGTTATTTAGTTGGAATACTTTAATACTAAAATATTTGTGGTCCCTAGGAGACAGTTTTGTGAAATATTTGTTGAATTCTACAGTAGAGACCATGAATTAAAATAATACGGGGCCTTACCTTATAAACACACTGCAAATTCATCAATGTTCGGCCCAACAACACTTTGGGGAGGGTTGGGTACTTTGATTCAACCCAGAGTATTAAAAATTCCACAGTGTAACTTTGTTCTTGGCCTCTGAAGGCAGTACAGGAGCACTGACCCCATCCCTTGATTTGGTTGGTCAGCGGGTTATTGTAGTCTGTGCAGAAAGCCTAACCACAAAAGTAAACTCAGACTAATGTTTAGATGCACTAATTCAGGTTATAAATAGGTGGTCACACTTTGCATAGGCGCGGTTGACAGCGAG